GGTGAGATGATGGGTAAATTTTTAGATTTGCAATGGTGGGTGAGACCGTGGGTTTGATGGTAAGTTAAATAGTCGGTGACATGATTGGGGAGGTGTTGGGTAAGATTTTTGGTTAGGTGGTGATTAAGATTGTAAGTAAAATGATTGGTGAGATGATGGGTTAGTTGATGGGTATATAATTGGTTAGGTGTTGGATGAGGGATTTTGGGTGAGATCGTGGATGAGGGATGGTAGGTAAGATTGTGTTTGAGATCATGCTTGAGATGATCGATGTGATGTTGGGTAAAACGGTGGTAAAGTTGATGGGTCACATGGTGGGTGATATAATTGGTGAGATGCTTTGTTCGGTGGCGGGTGAGATGATAATTGAAATGATTTATGAGATGGTGTGTCGTTTGGTTAGTGAGATGGTGTGTTTGGTGGTGGTTGAGTTGATAAGTGATATAAATTATGAGTTTATTGGTGAGATGATGGCTTAGAACTGGTGGAGATGCTGGTTTAGAGATGGATTGATGATGGGAGATATTATTGGAACGTGTTTGGATGAAGCATTGTTAGTGAGAAGATGTATGAGTGATGGCGGATGAGATGCTGGGTGAGATCATATTCAAATGATGGATGTGATTATTGTTGATATGATGATTGAGATAATGAGTCAGATTGGGGATGAGATGGTTGGTGGATGAGATTGATGATGAGATGGTTGGTGGATGAGATTTATGATGAGATGGTTGGTGGATGAGATTTATGATGAGATGGTTGGTGGATGAGATTGATGATGAGATGGTTGGTGGATGAGATTGATGATGAGATGGTTGATGGATGAGATTGATGATGAGATGGTTGGTGGATGAGATTTATGATGAGATGGTGGGTGGATGAGATTTATGATGAGATGGTGGGTGGATGAGATTTATGATGAGATGGTGGGTGGATGAGATTTATGATGAGATGGTGGGTTGATGAGATTTATGATGAGATGGTGGGTGGATGAGATTTATGATGAGATGGTGGGTTGATGAGATTTATGATGAGATGGTGGGTGGATGAGATTTATGATGAGATGGTGGGTGGATGAGATTTATGATGAGATGGTTGGTGGATGAGATTGATGATGAGATGGTTGGTGGATGAGATTGATGATGAGATGGTTGGTGGATGAGATTTATGATGAGATGGTGGGTGGATGAGATTTATGATGAGATGGTTGGTGGATGAGATTTATGATGAGATGGTGGGTGGATGAGATTTATGATGAGATGGTGGGTGGATGAGATTTATGATGAGATGGTTGGTGGATGAGATTTATGATGAGATGGTTGGAGGATGAGATTTATGATGAGATGGTGGGTGGATGAGATTTATGATGAGATGGTTGGTGGATGAGATTTATGATGAGATGGTTTGTGGATGAGATTTATGATGAGATGGTTGGTGGATGAGATTTATGATGAGATGGTTGGTGGATGAGATTTATGATGAGATGGTGGGTGGATGAGATTTATGATGAGATGGTGGGTGGATGAGATTTATGATGAGATGGTTGGTGGATGAGATTTATGATGAGATGGTTGGAGGATGAGATTTATGATGAGATGGTGGGTGGATGAGATTTATGATGAGATGGTTGGTGGATGAGATTTATGATGAGATGGTTTGTGGATGAGATTTATGATGAGATGGTTGGTGGATGAGATTTATGATGAGATGGTTGGTGGATGAGATTTATGATGAGATGGTGGGTGGATGAGATTTATGATGAGATGGTGGGTGGATGAGATTTATGATGAGATGGTTGGTGGATGAGATTTATGATGAGATGGTGGGTGGATGAGATTTATGATGAGATGGTTGGTGGATGAGATTTATGATGAGATGGTGGGTGGATGAGATTTATGATGAGATGGTTGGTGGATGAGATTTATGATGAGATGGTTGGTGTGCTGGTAAATGAGATGATTCGTGAGATGATGGGAGAGATGATAGGTCAGATGTTGTGTTAAATGCTTGGTGAGATGATGGGAGAGATGATAGGTCAGATGTTGTGTGAAATGCTTGGTGAGATGATGGGAGAGATGATAGGTCAGGTGTTGTGTGAAATGCTTGGTGAGATGATGGGAGAGATGATAGGTCAGATGTTGTGTGAAATGCTTGGTGAAATGATGGGAGAGATGATAGGTCAGATGTTGTGTGAAATGCTTGGTGAGATGATGGGAGAGATGATAGGTCAGATGTTGTGTGAAATGCTTGGTGAGATGATGGGAGAGATGATAGGTCAGATGTTGTGTGAAATGCTTGGTGAGATGATGGGAGAGATGATAGGTCAGATGTTGTGTGAAATGCTTGGTGAGATGATGGGAGAGATGATAGGTCAGATGTTGTGTGAAATGCTTGGTGAGATGATGGGTGAGTTAACGATGTAAAGTTTACGTCATTTTAATGATGCAGTCAATGGGCCAAAGAAACCTGACACTAAGATTTTTCAAGAGTTATAAAGTAGAATAGGGGTCACCAAACATTTTTCACCGCGGGTAAAGGACTAAATGACGAGCGTGGACTGTATAATCACTCTGTTCAATGCTTGCAAGCCAGAGCGAAAGCTCTTGAAAAAAGACGAAAACCTAAGTGTAATTTTCCATGTATGTCATATGTCAGTGTTGTGCAATGTAAAAACAAAAAAAAAAAAAAAACAGCAAAGACGACCAACATATTTATTTCGTTAAAAACGTATCAAAGAAGGTGACGTTAGTAAAAAGATATGTGCATTAGGAATTGTGCATACATATTCAAATCTTACAAGCTAAGCAAAAAAAAAAAATGATAAAAAAGATTTTTGAAACTGACGTTCAGCTTATAATACATCATCAATTGTTTGGTTTGGAATTGCTGCATCCAACCAAGAGGACTGATTTCAAATGTTCATATGTCACTCTCATTCGATGTGTGGACTTCACATTCTCCATTTTTTAAATGTTTTCTTAAAGACATAGGTTTTTCCAAACACAGATTCCACACCAGTGGAAAATATCTTAAGTTTCGGAAACTCAACGTTAGGAAAGAACAGTACAATTCAACAAGTTTTCCTTCTTTGTGCTAATCTTTCAAAAAATGAATTGCTTGCAAATTAATGAGCTACAAGTGTTTTTCAACTGGAAATATTTCAGGCAAAAAGATTATGTGACAGAAGAACGTTACACTTAACTCTGTCAAGATCTTATAATCTTCAATTTAATAATTATTGTTTTCGAAAAATTGAAGTTGACATCCCCATCGATTATAGCACAAGACTCTTTTAAACAGTGAAAATGTGAAAAGTGTTTTCCTTCCAATTGTGTTTTAAACAATGACAGCTTTTGCAAAAATCCCTTAAGGATTCTATAGAGATATGAGATATGAATATCCTTTCCCAGGAAATTAAAGTTCAGTTCAATCATGTTGGATTTTAGGTCGACCAAAAATGAGAACGTTGACAGCTGGGTAAATTCTGATAACTGTAAATCAGCTCTATTTGTTTCAGTGAGAAAAATATATTTTTTGCTTCGGAGCTTGTTAAAACGAAACAGAATTTTACCGCAGCAGAGCCACCTCATTGCTGTTATAAGGAAAGTCACGAAATATAGAGATCAACTTCTTAAAGAGAAGCCTGGAAATGACGATAATTGAGTGCATGACCCCGAATGAAGTTCATTGCAGAAGCCATTGGTTTCATTATATAGGAAAAATCAATAAGCTTAATTGATATTTTTTCTTATTTTATCATTTGTAAACCATCTTTTCCTTAAAAACATAACAAAACAACTACCTCAAGTTACTTGGTAGTTTTTTTTTAATGATGTCATCATTTGTTAATTGATTATTATTGAAATTCATTATGCTGTATGCTTATCTTACTTAAAATTAGAACAACGTTAAATTTCACCAGCAACCTTATTTTTACCAGTTATAAACGGTGATTATGTGATCAATACGTTTCTTCACATCTGCACACACAAAAAAGTGATCGAAAATGCTATTAGAAATTTTCTTTACACCAGCGTAAGTCGATTTAAAAAAGCAGTGCAATGCGAGTAGCCATTGCATTCATTATATATACTGTTTGCTTATTTATTTACCATTAAGAAACCATATGTCATCATTTTGAGGTGATATTGTACGATTTTAGGAGTTCCGGGTTAAAAAAGGTATACAATAAACAAGAAAATTTAGATACACTAATTTGAAATTTAAAATGGTAAATAAAGGGACATAGCATCAAGGAGGTCTCTCACCTGTGAAGATCTTCTGTGTACTAAACATACATTTAAATTTATCAACAAGTTTTATCAAGCAAATTCAAATGCCGTCGACGGGCTAAACAAACGGATGTCGTGGTCCGGATTCAGCCTGCGGGTCGCATTTTGATGACATCTGACTTATAATATGATTAATCATTACAACCATGCTTTTAACCAGGAGTGGCAACCTTTTCAGGAGGGGGGTATCAGATTTCAGCAATAATACTTTCTGCCGGGCCACGCACCTAATTGATATAGTAATTAAGGTAAAAATGCAAGTGCTGTGCAGCTTCGATTCCCAGTATGTGAGATCGTGGACAAACGCTTCTTTTGTTTAATGTAAAACAAATCAAGAAATATGTATTTTTTGGTGAAGAAATAAAACATAAATGAAAATCAAACATAATTATTGGAAAATTTGAAAATATTTAAATCTGAGACATCAGACTTTGTTTTGCTGAACTCCGTACAACAAAATTTATCTCGACTGATGGTGTCACTACACGCCAACAGTTTTCCAAATGAAAATCAATAATTCATAATAATTCATTAATAATATGCATCGTACGCCTAAAACGCTGGAGTGCTTCCAAAATTGCGAAACCATCAACAGAGCTAAATGGCATTGCGAACATCCTGAATCGCCGAAGACCACATAATATACATATAAATGAGAAGATGAAGTCTCATAATTTTACCAACACCTAGCGTTTGCCACCGCTGCTTTTAACATTTACTTACATTTGACAGTTTGGTTTCATTGGTCTGTGCTGCTGTTCCAACGTCCATGATTTTAATAATGCATCTCCGCGTCTCGGGTGTAATCACAGTCAGGTTAAATCTTGTAGCATTTCTATAGGCTTCCTGTTTAAACTTGGCGGTCAGCAGCTGTTCGTCCGTCTGACACATAAATATTGCAGATTTATCTATTAAATCGATCTTATTATTAAAATAAATCACTTTAAAGCTAAAGAACTCCCCATGACGTACTTTCTATATATGCATTTATTTTTTGTCAATTTTTATTAATATTTTTTTTTAATAATTCGTCAGCCACTTTATGTGTTAGGCTAAAGCAGAGTTATAACAATTTTTCAAAAAATCGATTAAGTTAATACTAATACAAAATTGACGCATTTTTGCAACAAATAAATATTTTAAAATTTTGGCAATCAAAATTTCCAAGGCTAAAAAAAAAAGAAAAAGAAAATGCGCATTCAAGGATAGATTTCATTTTTTGCAATGATGTATCCTCAAAAGTAATGCAGTCGTAAATATTGTGTCTCTTGATAACACTTACTATCTTAGGGATTTAAAAACACTTTAAAAAGAAGAAAAAACTGCATTTTATGAAAATAAAAAAAAATAATTAAAAAGCTTTCCAGGTTCTCCTTAGCTCCAGATATAAGAAGTGAAATTTATGATTAAATGGATGATGTAGGATGAAATTGGAAAAAAATTCAATACATTTGTCCCTCGCTAATCAAGGTTATCAGTTCACGACTCTATAGAAAGGATGGGGGTTTCGACGAGGTAAGATTATTTATTTATCAATTGAATATTTCGTTGTTACTGTTCACGCCCCTCTAAGTACGGTTTTAAAACAAAACTAGATTATCTGGGGATGCTCGAATACATAAGCATACAGTCCATACATACGGGGATTTTTAATTTAATTGGAAATACAGTGGTCTGTATTTGACTCACTCAATCGAGACTGCTCTCTAATGTTTTCACTATCTAATGTTATGTTTGAAAAAAAAACTGCGACAGATTGAAGGCGCCAAAGTCAAAGCCTAAAGGTGCGATCGACGACAGTAAACTAAACAAAATAGATTAATTAGACACCAACAAAGTGTGTCAAAATAACAATATAGTTTACGCTTTAATGAAAATTTTACAGAATACAAATGTATACGTTTCGGCAAATACCTTCATCACTACAACAAAAAGGAAAATAAGTATAAATTAAATTTACATAACATATATACACAAATTTTCTACCTAAAAAAGTTTGGAGAAAAAATAGGAGTGGGCGAAAAAAACAGACAGAAGCAATGTAAAGAAAAGTGTAAAGGAAGAGATTTGAGCAAAATTGTAAAAACTAAACAGGAAAAAGACATGGCAGTTATGTAAAATTGTGGATTTGGTTTATTCCATATGGTGACAACGTACCAAATCGTGATATTAAACTATTCTCTATGTATATCCTATCTGTTGTGCTACTAGTATATATTATACCAGTAACTGCGATGGCCTAGATACCATCATGGTTAGGGCTATCATATTTATGATATATAGGTGTTTTCTGAAGCGGTCTTCAAGGCGACGACCTCTCTCTCCTACATATAATTTACCGCACCTTTTTTAAATGATGTCATCATTTATTAATTGATTCTTAATGACTAAACAATTACTAAATTTCTTCTTCTTCTTCTTTATTTTAAGGGCCCACGATCAATGAATTGATCATTCTGGCTCCTATGTTTCAGAGGGGTTTGCGATGTTACTGTCCATGGGTTTCAATGGGATACTTCACTGGTTGCAAGGGCGACTCAGCAGTGGTGTTATGAACTGGGGGTTGGAATACAGGAGGCAATAGACACAAATGTCTATTACAGGAGGCAATAGACACAAATGTCTATTACTTTACTTATAGAAATTGCTGATTTTTAAAGCTAATTTGAGTTAGACTTACCGAGTTCTTCTGATTGTAATCTGTAATGTTCGTGTAGTAGGTCCAAAGAGCTTCTGCTAACCTCGGTTGGAAAATCTGTGCCTGGCTATTATAGTTCTTCAGAAATTCCTGAATCTCTGTAGGGCCACTAAAATTCTGACCTTTGACCCGAAAGAAGGTAGAGATGGCCACAGCTAGGTAAAAAAGCTTCGTCTTGGACATTCTTGAATGTTCACTGAATCTTAAATTTGAAAGAATAAGCTGTCATTGGCAACGAATCTATGTGCCCTATTTCAGCTCAATAGTTGTACAGGAATATCATCAATAAGCAGTCCAAAATGTTGCCAATCACAATGAAAGGAAAAGTTAATACAAAGGATTTCAAAGAAAAACTGAACCAATTAAGACGTCATTGTTTTGCACTGAGATTTTACGTTAGGTGACTGCAAGAAAATTTAACGCCTGGGAACTTAACCATTACAAAATTAATTGCGCCTTAAATCATAAATGAGAATCATATGATTTTTTAATGTAAAAGTTGATTAATTAAAAAATAAAAAAGAATTGACCTGAGTTATCGACGCAACGATGGTCTGCAAAACTGCGTCTCTGAGACGAAACGGAGACACGTTCTATTCCCTTTGCTCTTTCTGTGGTTAAACACGCTAAAGGACAAAAACAAACAACATACTTACCAACCCGCTGTCAGTTCTCCACTTGTGTGAAATGTTCGAACAAATCTATGTTCAAAACTGAAGTCTGTCCGTAAGTCAGCTAAGTAAACACAAGTTTTATACCATTGCTGAGTTGGTCTTGATCGATGCGATCTTAAAACCAAGCGTCGTTAATGTTTCATTTTTATTGTGGTTTCGGTACGTGCGACCTGTTGTTTTTCATAACAGGCAATGTAAAAATACGTGGGCTTAAAAATAATTTAATCTAATAGTCCTCAAAGTTTGATTGTTTAATATTTGCGCACGAGACGAAAATAGGTATTTTATGAGCATGCACACATTAACTGGTGTCGTCAGACAACTAACATTTATTTAACTCACTTACAAGCGTACATGAGGAGGAACTATGTTTTTCAGTTCCAAAATGGTCGCCATGCAGTAGTCCATTTCTTATATATGAAGTTCAATATCGTCTGTCAGACGTAGTCAGTTGGTAAATGACAGGATGTTGTACGGAAATCTTCGGTGATCATTTAAATTAGTAATGTTGATTCAAAACATACTTAATAATTATGGGGAAAATATACAACAACATAGATCTTTTATAAAATGTAATTTCCAGCAAAGGAGGGTTTTGGTTGAAAATTTAACATGCATTCAAAAAATGCACTTGATAAGAACACACTGGAAACTTTAGAATCTAACTTATTCTGCACTGAATAAGAATCCGAATTAATGCCAATCCCATTTTTCCAGGGCTCGCAGCGGCACAGTTGACCCATACTCCTGAATTATATTAATATTCTAATGACCCACCCGTTTTAAAACAATAAAGAAAATATTACCCACCAAACCCACTTTCTATATTTTCATTCATAGTAATCTCACTTAGAGCAGTTTTGGTGAATTTCTTTTCATCTTTTCCTTAACAAATAGGAAAAAAACTGATTTATTGCAATGGAGTTTGTGGATTAAGATTGAAAATAACGTGTTGTCATTGAGCTATTAGCTCGATAGGGAAACGGGAAGTGGGTCAATTCGCCGTAAAATATTTTGCCAGTGCGCCAGTCTGCCACCCAGCCAGCTAGCCATCCATGAACCGAACCGAAGTTTATATTCAAGATTTAATACTAAATACAATCACTCCAGTCAACCATAAAAGGATGTGGTGGTCAACGACGAGCACAAAGGAAGGTTGATTCCGGTAAGTGTGCAAAGCTAATAGAACACTCTCTGACATATCTTGAGAGAGCAAATATTGATCTATTTATACTAATTAAAATAACATCTTTTAATTTTTTCCACATCACAACTTAAAGGCCGCTTTCATATACGACCAAGAGACCCGATAAAATAGTTTATCATTTGTAGAGTGAGATAATAAAGAGTTAAATTTATAGAAAGTGGAAATAAAGTGCATTATTTGCAGAATAAGACAATGGAATATATCATTTGTGAAATGAGATAATAAAGAGTTTCATTTATAGAATGGGATAATAAAGTGTACCATTGAGTGAATAAGATAATAAAGAGTATTATTGATTGAATTATGTAATAAAGTGAATCATTGATACAATAGGATAATAGAGTGTATCGTTGATAGATTGGAATAATAAAGTGAATCATTTATAGAATCAGATAATAAAGTTTAGCATAAATAGCCAAAGATAATATAATATTTCATGTCTAGATTCAGATACTGACGTGTATAATTTAAAGAATGAGATAATTAAATGTTTCATTTCTAGAATTAGATAATATAGTGTATTTATGTTTTAATATGGCTAGTTTTACCGACTCCAGCAAAGATCCTTCTTCGACTGCGAGTTTTATGAGCTTGTCGCCAAGATCCTTTTGCTCCAAGAAGAGGTTTACCTCCAGAGGGCGTCTTACTGAGGACTTTTGTGAAAGTTTGGATGACTCTACACAGAGTTTCCCTTTCTTTACCCTAGCCGAAGACTCCAACAAGAATTTACCTACCAAGGTCCAAATTTCTACATCAGACACTACTGATGTCATACAAGACTTCGTGCCTTTCATATTGGAAGGATTCATATCACTGCCAGGTGATTATTCCACTCTACAACCAATCAAAATCTTTCGAGATACAGGTGCTTCACAGTCCTTGCTACTTGAGGGTATACTTCCCATGTCTAAATCTACTGCTACTGGGAGCAAAATCCTGTTACGAGGTGTAGAGCTGGGATGCATAGACTTACCTTTACATCTCATCAACCTCAAATCAGACTTAGTCTCCGGACCTGTGGTTGTGGGTGTCCGACCAACATTAACGTTGGGTGGCATCTCGTTCCTGCTAGGCAATGACTTAGGTGGTGGGAAGGTAATAGCCGAACCCATCGTTACTCATGAACCTTGTTTAACTGAATATCAGGAAGAAGATCAAGAATTGTATCCAGCATGTGCTGTGACAAGGGCCATCAGTTCCAAGATCTCCAAAGAATAAATTTAAAAAAAAAATCCTTCCTGAAATTGACCTGGGAAAAAAACATTTTTCGCCAATCTAAACGAAGAGGCCAGTAATTACAAGACTCCAACTCGAATGCAACTTATTGAAGAACAGAAGAGTGATCCAGAAATAGTCAAACTTCGAGAGAATGCTTTGACCCAAGAAGAAGCTGAAAAATTCCCTGTATGCACAACTTTCCCGTGCGTGGACTTTCTTTAACCTCGCATTACACTCCTAGCAGACAGTAACGTCTGTTGTTAACTCCTTTTGATGTTTACTATCGGCTTCCAATTACACATTGGGTAGTATGTTTCCTGGTATTTTCTCGCATGTGCTCGATAACCCGAGAAATGTAAACAACTTGCATACGAATTTTATATATTTTTCTTTGTGTATTTGTGTGCTCATATGTGTTTATTTCGCATTTCATCATTATTCATTGGCACATTATACTAATTGTCTTAACTGTGTACTGGTACAAGATCTATCATACTGTAAGTTGAAGATTGCCATTATATTTTCTTTTCTTTTGTAATTACTTTAATACTTAATAAATCTTATTTATTGTAACTAGCAACTATTTTAGGTGTCGTATCTTTAATATTGTTGACCCTATGGTATCGTCCTTTGATGGACACTGTTTACAATGAGCCAAATAGATTTAAAATAGGTTATTAATTTCTCCCAAAACAAGTTATTACGTAACAATCCCATATTCACTACATAGAATCTAGCGTTAGTGCAGACAGATACACAGCCTAGTTGAGTAGCGCGTTGTAGGGCTGATAGATACACAACCTAGTTGAGTAGCTAGTGAGTGTGGTGATAGATACACAGCTTATTGGAAAGGTTAGTGATAATGCTCATAGATGCACAGCCTAGTGGAATAGCCAGTGTAAGTCATCATAGATTCGCAACCTAGTGGAGTAGCTACTATAAGTGCTGATAGATAAACAGCCTAGTTGAGTAGCTAGTGATAGTATTGATTGATACACAAACTAGTGAAGTAGCTCGTACAAGAATTGATAGATGCCCAGCCTAGTGGAGTAGCTAGTGATTGTATTGATAAATACAGAGCCTAGTAGAGTAGCCAGTGTTAGTGCTGATATTTACACTGCCTAATGGAATAGCTAGTGATAGTACTTATAGATACACAACCTAGTGGAGTAGTTAGTGTTAGTGCTATAGATCACAAACTAGTGGAGTAGCTATTATTTGTACTGAAAGATACACAGCCTAATGGAGTGGCCAGTGTTAGTGTTGATAGATATACATTATAGTTGTGTAGCTAGTGGAAGTGCTGATAGATACATTACCTAGTGGAGTAGCCAGCGATAGATCTACTCTAGACTTGCCTAGACTTATGCCACTTTCTAATTACGATACAAATTCGGTATTTGTCATAAAATCAGTTCCCTACATAGGAATAAAGATTGACATCTTAACTAACCACCCAACCTCACTTGCAGAGGCGTAGCTTGAGAGTTTGGCGTAAGGGATATTGATTTATTTTTACGTGACCCCCCACTCCTAACTTTGAAAAAAATATTTTGAAGCATTAAACACCATCATACGTTATATTTGCGTCTCGCTAGTATGGTGCATTGGGATATAAGTTCTCCTTTTCCCCCTTAGCTACAATTTTGAAACTGTCAGTTCTCCTCCCTGAAAACCTGAAATGTCGCTCCCCCCAGTGGGAAATCTTAAAGAAACAATGAGGTTCTGTCCCCTTTCAAAGCCAGGGCGCCTGCTACCCACAGTCATATCTCATGACATCCTAAAGTTTGATCTACTTGCCATTAGATGTGACGTCGCTGCCCTAAGCTGAGGTTAAGGACTGCCCTTCTGCCCCATGGCTCACGACCGAAATAGCGGACGCTAAGCAGAAGCAGTGACGTGCAGAATGCAAAGTGCGGAAGTCTCGCCTGACTGTGGACTGAGAAATCTTTGTTGATTACAAGGAACAAACTAAGAATTTGATCCTTGCAGCTAAGACTGAA